TTGGACTGCAAGGAGATCCAACCAGTCCATCCTAAAGGAAATCAGTGCTAAATATTCACTGGAAGGACTGATGCTGAAGCTGAAACTCCAATACTTTGGCCACCTGATGTGAAGAGCTGACTCATTTGAAAAGACCCTGATGCTGGGAAAGATTGAGGGCAGAAGGAGAAGAGGACGACAGGATGAGATGGTTGGGTGGCATCACCAACTCAATGGACATGGGTTTGGGTAAACTCCGGAAGCTGGTGATGGACAGAGAGGCCTGGCATGCTACGGTCCAAGGGGTCGCAAAGAGTCAGACATGACTGAGCGACTGAACTGAGCTGATAGATTGTGAAAAGATTCCTTCCATTTAGTTTGTTAACACATACATTACCTCGTCTATTTATCTTTCTCTATATGCAAGAACATTTAGTTCTTCTCTCTTAGCAAATTTCAGTTATACAACTGCTATTAACCCTAGTCACCTCATTATGCATTAAATCCCTCAGATTTTATTCATATTATAGCTAAATTTTATAACCCTTTACTAACCTCTTCCTATTTCCAATTTTCAATATTTTAAAAGTAAAAATTCCTTGTAAAAAATAAATGAATATCTTCCTTTCCTCCATTGTAGATGCTATTGATCCTAAGATAAGTTATAAATTTATGTCCTGCAAAGAAAAAATGCTGTAAATTAAGCCATCATACACAACTTTTAAAAAATTCCTTCAATAATGTCTCATACACTAAGATATTAATTTTATCTGTTGTCTTTAGAAAAAGTTATTTGAGCATCATTTTGATGCTAAGTGTGAAGGACCATCTTGTCATGTAGTAAATGTAATTTCTGATACATTCATAGCTATGTATCTCACGTTTCTCTACGTGATAGAAAATTCACTTGATGGCATTAACTTGGAGGTATAAATGAGCTGCTTTTGGAGTTGATAAGACCGTTAAACTTCATGGGGAAACCCAGATTCGAGTCTCAAGTCTCATCCTTAACTATGTGTGTGACCTTGCAAAGTTACCTAACATCACAAGCAATGTTTTCTCATACATGTAACTGAAAAGGATAGACTAGACACTGGGAATGTCCCTTCATCTTTGCAGATCTGTGATCACTGAATATCACATATAACATTTGAATTCTCTAAGTTGATAGGCCTTAATATTTGGAGGAATTAATGCTTCTCAGGTTATAAGGCTCTAATGTGTGCACTAAAAACTATGTAATGCTTATTATCATTGAAACAACAACAAAAAAATAACAGCAGAAAATCTAATTTCCATTCAGATATGGCTTTACAGTATTGTTTGTTATTTTGTTTTACTCAACCTAATATATCCTCTTGATGTGTAATGATATGGGGAAAATTAATTATATTCTGTGACATAATGCTGATTTTTCTTATAAATTACAATCAGCTGAAACCCCTGACATATAGTTTGGTTTTTGGTATTCTAATAACTTGAAACAAGTATGAAATGTTTTTAAAGATTTTTATTGTTGTGGACCATTTTTAAAGTCTTTACTGAATTTGCTACAATATTGTTTAATGTTTTGTTTGTTTTTAGCCATGAGGCATGTGGCATCTTATCTCCCTGACCAGGGATTGAACCCTCACCTCCTGCATTGGAAGGCAGAGTCTTAACCATTGGACCTCCAGGGAGGTCCTAAAACCAGTGTGAAAGTTTGAGGTTAATTTTCTCAAACCAGAAATTTCTTTTAGTTGACTACTGCCATTGTAAAGAAAAATGCAACTATGGAACACAAAAGCTACGTTGTCTTCAAGGTAGTTGTAGTGTATACTCATGCATATGAAATGCAGAATTAGTAAATTCCACTTGGAGCTGCACTGAACTATTGTTTTTATATTGTGCTCTGTTACATAACTTCCCTGCTTTTAGCAGAGGAGTGTTTAGGGTAGAATTTTAATGTATCCTTTGTGAAATGCTAGCTCACCATATCCCTAAGAAAAAAGTGTAGTATTCTCTTTCTATGATCTTGAAAAGCATAGTGCAATATAAATAACTAATCAAATGAAACCCTGTACAACTAAAAATGTTGAAAGAGATCAACATAAATATTTATGTCTAAAACAAATGGTTTTCTTACATGCTAGAATAAATATTTTCCTGGAGCCAATTGAACGTGTAGCTAGAATGGAAACTTGTAGAATTAAAGTTCCATATCAGAATTGTCTTTAGTAAAATATGCTTTTCCTCATACATCATAAATATCATGTGAATTCCAAATACTTTAAGGGTTTATATTTAACACTAAAAACTTCTTTTGTAAGAGCCCATATATTTAACCTTTAAACAATTCTTTTTTAAGATCCAATATACTTAACCTTGGGGCTTCCCTCATAGCTCAGTCAGTAAAGAATCTGCCTGCAATGCAGGAGACCCTGTTTCTATTCCTGGGTCAGGAAGACCCCCTGGAGAAGGCAGTGGCAACCCACTCCAGAATTCTGGCCTGGAGAATCCCATGGAGAGAGGAGCCTGGCAGTCTACAGTCTATGGAGTCGCAAGAATCGGACACGACTTAGCAGCTAAACCACCACCATACTTAACCTTGAAATATACTTAACTACATAATAGAAGCCAGAGTTAGTCTTTACAGCTTAATTTTTCAGAATGTCCTGCTGAAAATAGAATATAACTGAATGAAAGTACTTGTATGATGTGTAAAAGCAAATGTCAGTATGGAAGAGTCAAAACTTCTTTCTCAGGGCAGTGAAGGCATATTACATCTCACTCTTCAGACCAGAGAGCTGAATCACTGTTAGCTGGCATTTATGAATGTCGACAGCATGGAAGAATTGGAAAGCATATCCACAGTTTAGGCCAAGAAAGTTCCAACTTGGACTTGATGTGTAAGGAGAAGAGACAAGAGCCAGTGGGAAGGTGGTGAGTCGGATGAGGAATAACGTCAGCAGAGACCAGGAGTGTCC